TGATCAAATCCCAATTGAAATCATCCGGGATCTCCTCGGGGGCTCCTGGAGGGGGCCGCGAAACCAAGCGGTGACCTGAGAAAGTTGCAGAAGGCGGGGGGGGGGGGGGGAAGGGGGGGAGCACAAGGAGGAAGCGGTTTAGTAAGTGGGATTCTTCCGAGTGCCTCCGGTGGCAAAGCCCCCTCCCCTCTCGCTGGCATCGGAGGGAGCCCTCAATGGAATCAAAACATTCGGACCCTCCGAGAGGTTTGCCGATTGGAGGCCGGAGGGATTAAGTGGGCAGGCCGACGTCCAGAGTGTCTCAGAAACCAGGAGGAGCATCTGCCAATCAGCTCAAGCGGCAGCCGGCTGCCTCCCCCGCTGGGCGTCTCCTTACCTGGGCGGTTGTACCCTGGCGAATCCTGGGTGGGAATCGGGTACATCGGAGAGGGTCCCGAATACAGGTGGGGAGGTGCCGGCTGACCATACACTGGGGAGAAGGGGGAGGGGCAGAGAGGGAGGGTCAGGTCTGAAAATCCACACCGTCTCTATGGGGAGGGGGCTGCTTGGTGGGGGCTGCTGGCTTCCTCCCTCTGGGGAAGATCCGGTTCATGTCACGCTTCGTACTGAAAAGGCTTCCCCAGTCGCTCGGGGCTCTTCCCCATCCAGGCCCCCCTTCCCCCCTCCAGGACGGGGAAAGAACTTTGGGGCCTCACTTGGGCATCTGGGGGCAGAGGGTCTCTGGGCCTCCCCGCCATCCACGGAGCTGGTCCTGACCTCCCCTGCTATGACCCTGGGAGAGCTTTATTAAAGGGGGGGGGGGAGAGCCACGAGGAGGGCAAGAGGGGGCCTGGGCCTAGACTCCCCCTCTCGTCCAACCCTCAGCCGCTGCCCCCAATCGGCTCCCCATAACCCCTCAGTCATAGGCCGAGGCGGTTGGTTTTCTCGGGTGGCCCAGATTCCTTCCGGGGAGGGGCACGCTCCCCCCCCCAAAGGCGGCCATCCTTGCCCCTCCCTCTCTCCCCCGTCCCCTCGGGATCTACCTTGGCCCATGGGCTGCTCCTGCTTGTTGCTGTTCAGGGCACAGGACTCGGAGATGCGGGGGGGCTGTGGGGGCCCCCCCACGTGAGGGAGCTGCCCGGTCTGGGTGAGGAAGTGGTTCAGGGAGTCGCAGAGGTTGGCAATGTGGTGCTGGTCTAAGGACCAGTTCTTTCGTTCGGCCTGGCGGAGGCTCTCCATTAACTCTGCGGAGGGAGGGAGGGGGAATCACTGCTCTGCCCGCACCAGGGAGACCCCTCCAGTGGAGGGCAGGGTCCCTCCTCCCCCCCCCTCGAAGAAGAAGACGCCTCACCTGAGAACTGGGAGTGTTCAATGCTGGACCAGTTGAGCCGGTTGACCACCTTGAAGCTCTCCTTCAGAGAGTCGATGTTGGAGCACCAGTCGGGGGGGAAAGCTGGGAGGGGGCGGGAGACAAGACAGGCAGGGAAATGAGCGGCCCCTTCCCCCCCCCCCAGGACCTTCTCCCTGGGCGCAGGAGATGCACCCAGATGTTATGGAGGAGCAAAACGCCACTCAACGAAGCCGCCCTGTTCATTGATGCCAGAGAGAGATAAGATGGCTTCCGCCCACGTGGGCGGCCATTCTTCCCCCCCCCCCCCGCACGGGACGAGGCCCCTCCCTGGGCTGGGACTCACCAAAGCTGGCGTTATTGAGGGAGGCCTGAGACTGCTGCTGCTGCGGGTGGGCGTGGGGATGATGGTGCTGGTGGTACCCTCCGTGCTGCATGGCAGAAGGGTGCAGAGACATCACGGGAGGGGGGCCGTAGCCGTCCCCCGCCTGCTGCTTGCTGCCCTGGGACTGGCAGCTCTCCGAGGTTGGAGTGTGGAGGGGCTGCGCAGCTCCGACGGAGGGGGGCCCCTGTGGCTGCTGGTACATGTAGTAGCTGTGGTTGGAGGGCTGCATCTCCCCCAGGAGGGAGGAGAAATCTGAAGGGCAAATGAGGAGGAAAACGCTCAGCAGGCACATTGGGGGGGGGAGGGGCGGCAAACGGCCTTCCTGCCCTCCCCCAACCCCTGCGGGCCAGACCTGGGCTCTTTCCCGGGGGGGGGGGAGTGGGGGCTCTGGTGCTGGGAACTGAACCTGTCTCTGACTGGAACCCAGTCAGGAGGGTCTACAGGCGGGGGGCCCAAAGAACCGAGGTGGGGGCCACAGAGGTGTGACCAAACCTGTGCCTGTTCTTTATGTGCAGCTGGCAACGCTTGGCTTTTCCGATGGAAACTCCTGCTTCCAATGCCCCCCCTCCANGGCTCTGCCTCTGCTGCTGCGGCCCATCTGGGATTTCGGGTTTGGGCCCCAGGCCTTCCCCAGGAGCGAAACCTTTGGCCCTCTTGAGCAAAGGCCTCAACCTCCGGAGTCGGCCCTGAGCCCGTGAGGTGCCCAAAGGGCAGCTGTCCCCCTTCCCCCCCACTCTGATCGGTTGTTTCAGCTGCTTTTAACACCGTGTGTTATTTTTCTTATTATACATTCCTGTTTCCTTTCCCTTTTTTGCCCTGCAGCCCGCAGCCCCTCCCTCCCACTGCAGAACCTACAAAGGTTCTAATTAAATGCACCCTCAAGGGGGGGGGGGGGCGGTCAGCATGGAGGGAGAAGTTTCCTGGAGTTCTCGTCCGAAGTAAGTCCACCCGTATAAAAATGCTTCCATCGCGTGCGCACCCCCCCCCCAACCGCCACCCTAATTTAAGCCACAAGCTCCTTGGGGGCGGGGGGCAGAGATCTGTGGCTTTGGCTCAAGTGAGCCCTGGAGCAGGTCACGGCAATGAGGACTAGCTTCTTAAAGGCCGGTTTTCTCCACGCTCGGGGTCCTCACCTTCCAGCCGATGCCCGCGTTCTTGTAATAGGGGAAGTTGTCGCAAATCCAGCGGTAGATTTCACTGAGGGTCATCTTCTTGGCGGGCGAGGAGTTGATGGCGTAGGTGATGAGGGTGGCGTAGCTGTAGCGAGGCTTCCCGTCCTGGTGCACGGCGGCCTCATCCTTGCTCAGCGTGGCATTGGGGTCGGTGGGGGAGCCGGGCGGACACTTCCGGCCAGCTCCCGGGGTGCCCGACTGAGAAGCCCCCCCCAATTTCTCAATGGTGGCCCGAAGAGTGAGCTGGGGGAGCCAGTCGATGGAGGTGAGGCTGCTTTCCAGGTCGGAAGCCATGGCGCTGGAGGACAAGGTCTGTGGCGGAGACAGAAGCGAAGGCAGGTCAGCTGGGCAGCCCCTCAACCCTCCGCAGGGCCAGGTGGAAGCCTCCTTCATCCCTGCAGCCACCCTTTCCCAGGTCTATACCCCTCCCATGGCTGGGTAGCCTAGAAGTGCAATTAGGGGAGCCAAAGACTGCAGTCGGATCCCTTCTGCTTGAAACACACACAACTTTCCTGGAACAGGTGACAAAATCGTCTGCACAGACGATCGAACACACTCACACACACACACACACACACACACCCGATCTAAGGGAGAGGCGCTAGCTCAACCACAGGCAGTTCTTGACTGCCAGCAGGGACTGGAACTTCCATTGCTGAGGGGGGGGGGGGATGTGGTTAAGTGATGCCTGATCTCGGGATGATGGTGCCAACTAGAAAGGGAAACTTGGTGGAAGTGGGCAGTCCGTCAATAAGGGTATCATTAGATGGAAGCTAACAGGGATCCTTAGGGAGCCATGAGGGCACAGTGGTTGAAGTGCAGCATTGCAGGCAGACTCTGCCCTGATCCAGGAGTTTGACCCTGACCCGCTGGAGGTTTCCATCCTTCCCAGGTGGGCCAAATGAGGAGCCAGACTGCTGGGGGCAAGAGGCGGAGGAGGAGGGACCGGAGCCTAAGGGCTGTGAGCACATTTGCACCATTAAGAGCACGGACTCATTCATCCATGGGGGTTTCTGCATTCCCCACAATCATTTTGTAGGCTCCTCGCAGAGAACGATCTAAACTTAAAAACATCATAAATCAGGCCGAACGGAGGGCCATCGGGGACCAGGGTGGATCTAGCGTGGATGAGTAGACGCTTCCCACAATGCCTCACCCCTCCTGTGGGATGAAGCGGCCAGCCTGTGTGCAGATGCCCAGAGGACCAAGGCCAAAGCGAAGGAGGCGCCGTGGGGCAGGCAGCCTGCATCTGTCGGAGGGAGATGAGGGGCTGCCCTCTCTCCTCCTCCTCCTGGGATTGCCCCACAGCGCCTTCCCCTGGGACTGCGGGGTAGCTGCCCACCGCCAAGAGTCAAGGAGGCCTCGGCCGCACACCCACACCTGCCCCCCCCCTCAGCATCAGGCTGCACCACTGGCACCTCCAGCGTGTTTTCTCCAGGGGTGAGTCCCAGGGATGGGAGCAGCTTCCCTTACACGGGGGGAGGGCTGGCAGGGGCCCCCAGGCAACTGGGAAACGCTTTTGCAGCTGCGGATCCAAACCGTCACAATCTGACTCTCAAAAGCTGGAAGAGGGTGGCCAAATTTCTTCTGATTCAAAGAGAAGGGAATCCCTGAACAGAGATCTCCTCTCCAGATCTACCTGCTGTAGGAGCCAATCACACTTGCCCTGCAGCAGCAGGTGAATCTGAGCAGGAGAGGATCTCGCCTCCCGTCAAGTAGCTTTTCTAGCCTGGGTGGGTTTGTGTGTTTAGTTCTTATTGGCTGGTTAAGGGAATCCTTAAAGTCAGAAGAACCTCAGGGAAAAAAACCCTGCCTCACCTCCACCCCAGGGCCTACCCCGAGACTACAATTATTTGCTGATCTGTTTCATATCCTTGATGCGAAGAAGCTTAATGAAGGACTAACTGTACGGGCCACGGACTCAAGAAAAGTCTGGAAATTAGAGTTTTACAGCAAGGAACCAGCAGCAAATATTCTCTGAGGCTCAGTAGGCGTCTCCCAGACGTCCGTTTTGTGTTCTTTTAGAGATTAAGAGGTTAAGGGCAATACGTCATGGTCATACTTCTATTCTTTTAACCACAGGCTATTACCATCCTTGGTTTCTCAGCCTTTTAGATAAGATCCTTTCCCCCTTGATCAGAAGTTTGAGGGACAAAAACAAGGGAGGAAAAGGACAAGAATCCAGCTCATAAACTGCTAATCGGTACCTGGAACTAAATTTACCTGGAACTAAATAACCACTCCTCAGCTTCACCATCAACAATTCCAAATGTACTTCGCTCATGAACAGGTAGAAGAAGAGTGGGGAAAAGCAGAGAGCCTGCCTCCTTTGGTCTACTAGGAAGGCAAAACTAGGCTAGGAGAAATGGGGATTAGGTAGCCTGGAATTGTGCCTTCTTTTGTGTCGGGAAACGTGAGGAACTGTGAGGAAATATTATAGATTTTTCATCACGGCCTTCGTTCAAAGGCAGTTTAGCCGCCCACAAAAAGAATGAACCCAAATTAAGTCAATTATGTTTTAGTCTCCTTGACTTATGCAAGTCATTGCTAATTTTATTTATTTCAATGGCCCTTGAAAAGGATCTTAGAATATCCTTCAGACCAACCCGGGGGACGGGGGGGGGGGAAACACGACACTTGGGTGAGTTGAACAAACGAAGGAAAGCAGAGTCCTCTCACTTAGGTAGGAAGAACTTGGTGCAAGGAAAACCAGGTCTCTCAACTTTGGCCACTTCAAGGTGCGTGGACTTAAAACGCCTAGAATTCCTCACCAGGCTGGCTGGAGAATTCTGGGAGTTGAAGTCCACGCACCTTAAAAGTGGTCAAGGTTGAGAAGCCCCGAGATAGACGATGCAGCGGTCGTACTAGGAAAAGAATCTGGTCGCTAAGGTGGAGCTCCCATTAAACCTGGGCCAGCAGCGTCCTGCAGCTACCGAAAAGAGCCAATTCCTGGGCTGCACCAGTAAGAGGCAGACCCTTCCGTTCTACGTCACACCAACCAGCCCTCTACAGTTCTGGTCATCCCAAGGAGGCGGCTATAGAGCTGGAGAGAGCGAGGCTGAATTCCTCTTGGAGCAGATGGAAGAGCAATGGTGCTTAGCTTAAAGAAGAGAAACCTGGGAGGAGACATGAGAAGAGCCTCCCGGGACTGGAAGGGATGCCACAGGGCAGAGGGTGGGGCAAGAGCCAAAGGACGGAGGTCTTACAGAAGGAGAACCAAACCCCAAATAAGGAGGAAATTCCTGAGCTTCCGGGGATTGGGTCAGCCTGTCGCCTGGAACTGTTGGGCTTCCATCACTGGGGGCTTTCAGACAAACTGATGGACAACTCATTGGTCTCACTTGGTCTGCAGACTCCTTCCCTGGGCAGGGGTCTGGCTTGGAAGACCTCCAAGGTGCCCTCCAACCTTCGAGTCCCATTAGTCTTTTCCTGGACTTTCTGGAGCTTTCATCCAGCCTTCTGGATGAGCCCAGAAACAGCCTGGTTGCTGGCCAGATGCTTTGGGGGCCTCCTGGATGAGGCCTTCCTGGGCTAGAGGCGATGCCACCGTCCCATTTGGAGTTTGCTGCAGGAGAGAGAGCGGCCCTACTATTATTATGAAACATGTTGCCCCGTCTATTCTTAGTGACTGAACTATTTCAGTATTAACTTTCCAGGTCTGAAGCTCCAGGAGATGACCAGGCTAACCCCTTCAAGATCAGTTCTTCCGTTCTCAGCTATTCGGTTGTTCCTTGTGAACTGGATGCTTGCTAAGTCTGCCAGAAGTAAACATGGAAGGAGAACCAGACTCCCAGTGCTTGCAAAGAGGGTGGGTAAACTCTTGGGAGGAAAGGGAGAGTCCACCAAAAAATTAAGAGAAAGTTCAGAAAGACAGTTCCAGCTCCAGGGAAGGACACCAAGAATCTTTGGATAGAAATGAACTAAATGAAAATAAACATGAATAGCAGGAAAGGAGGCACAAGAGATTCACATAAAGCATTTCATTCGTGCTATACACAGGTAACAAGCCACTAAAATCAGGGGGGAGGGGGAGTGTCCTGGCATCTCATATGAGATACTAGAAGAGAACTAGGAGCCTTCCTTCCTTGGAGAATCTGCAGGGCTGGAACAATTCAATCTGGGGAAACCCACAAAGACACCAATGTCTGGGCCAACTGCGAATGTTGAATCTGTGTTGAATGCTCTGGTCAAATTTAAATTTAAAAATTACTTCCGTGACCAAGATAGTAACATAAAGAGCCTAACATATTCTACATTGCAAGACAATGAAGAGAATAACTCCTCCTCTCTTCTGTGAAATGTGCAGTTTACTCCTTAAAACAAAACAAAATAAAAATCTAGGACCATTCAAGAGACTGGCAGCTTGCTGTTAACTAAACTACATTTCTCAGAAGCTCTTCCCCATTGCCAGGTGGCTGATGGGAAGCATCTGAAGTCCCCCTATCACTGTCCTGGTTTTTAAAAATTTACAGGAGGGATGGTGTTTTCTCATTTTTTATATATACAAACTAATATAAATGGTCTTGCAGGAGGATGGTTTGTTTTAATTATTCCTCTGCTTTTTTATGTTTATAAACTTTGCCCAGATACCTTTGATTTTAGAGTGGATAATAACGAGAACAACATTCAAGCCTGAATATAATTCTCTTCCTTTTATCACTAAAAAGAAGAATGCAACACAAACTGATTCATAATATCTGATTTCAACACAGGACAGCTGCAAGATTCAAGATAGCTAAATTGCAACAGTGAAGTTCAAAACTTGTTCATGTTTTGATTACTGAGTTTGAAATCTAGCCTAGCATGGATTCCTGCTCAAAAACCCTGAGCACCGAGCTTTGTGGATGCTTCCTGCAATCATGTCTACAAGTTTCATGACATTTGCAAGAAAACCTCCCCCACTGGGCTGCGACCTGGCGATTATAGACAACAGGAAGACCCCTTTAAGGGGCTGGGAATCCACCAGGAGCTGCCAATATTCTATCTGATTAATCGGTACAGATACCACAGCTATTACCAGCGACCCCACAGCCCCAATGTGGCTCTTCCTCCTCCTGGAGGCCCATCACGCCCCCCCCCCCCGGAATGCTTCCCAGCCAGGCCTGCCTAGGGGTGCTGGAGGTGGGCTTCCCCCAGTCCAGCTCTTTCTCAGCAGCCTTCCTCCCACAACCACAGGTCCTCCCAAACGGTGCCCTTGGCTCTGCATTTCCAAAGCTCCTCATTGCATTTATTTGAAAGCTAATTTAGGGCCTATGCCATGTAAAATCCTCTCCATGCAAACTTTGTGTTAACCCGAAAACAATTACCATTTTTTTGGATATCTGAATATAAACCATGCAAATGCCATGAGGCCCCAAGCCAAAAGGGCAGCCTTCACCCCAGACCAGAAGCAGCAGCTGTTAAGTCCTGGAATGAGATCCCCCTCCTCCTCCTCCTCCTCCTCCTCCTCCTCCTCCTCC